CCTTCTTCCAAAATTCGTTCTCATCGCGACACCTAAACAAAGTGACTTCATATTTATAAATATAGATAGTCTGTTAAAAAAAATATTAAGTGGAGAACAAATTTAGATTCACATATTTTTATTATATCTCTCTAATTTTCTAGAAATTTATTTATGATGTTTCGTCTCCGAAAACATATTGTGCATCGTTTGTTCCTCACCCAAACTGTCATCGGAACAGTGTTTGCTATGGCACTTTCATTTAATTGGTCGCCTGTGTTTTTCTTGTTGTGTGGCAAATGATTTGGGTTCGTAATTTAATGTTTTATAAGTCTGTAAAAAAATAATATTTAGTTATGGAGAACAAAATTAGATTCATCATATTTTTATTATATCTCTCTAATTTTCTAGAGATTTATTCATGATGTCTCGTCTCCGAGAACTTATTGTGCATCGTTTGTTCCTCACCCAAACTGTCACCGGAACCGTGTTTGCTATGACACTTTCATTTAATTGGTCTGCGTTTCTCTTGTTGTGTGGCAAATGAGTTGGGTTCGTGATGATGCCAATAGGTGTGTTTTTTTGTCGACTATTCTTGTTGGATGTGTTTGAAACTCCAATGGTGGATGTTTTAATCGCATCAAAAGAGTATAGATTTGAATCATGGTTGGAGATGTGCGTCAATACAAATTTGTTTGTGCTCCTTCGATCTTTGGATGTTGCTGGTTAAAAAAAAAACAAATTTTGAGTTTGGTAATGTTTTTTGTGTTGGTTTGTCTTGATCTTTGTCGGTTCGAATGGATAACTGTGTTATTTCTCTCGAGTAAAGTGTCTTTCCGGCGATGTCATCATTCATGGTGTTTCAACCGGTTTTTGTGTTGCTATAATAGTCGTTTCCAAATATGTGATCCAATGGTTTTTGGTGCTAACCACAATGTTAAAGGAAAAAAATATATTTCAACATCATCAACAAACATTGCTATTGCGAGATGTTTATGCAAAATTTCAAAGGGCCATGGCTAATACTGATGTCAATCATGACAGTAGATGCCGAGTATATACACCAACGGAAGATCATTTCAATTTACATCGAAGCATTACGAAGAAAATATTACATAGAGGAAGCGTTACCAGTGCTCCAATCATTGTGGTCTCGGGCTACTAGAAAAATTGGGAGTAAATCAAAATCAAAATTATGGTAAATAATGGATGGTATCGTATTGTTAGAAATTCAAAACTTTTTTCGGAATCAATAGGTTTTGTCATGCGTTGAGTAAGAAAATAAAAGTTAGTCACCCACATATGCATCAGAGTAAGATTGAATACAAAGAAGAAAAGTAACAAATTTAGTGATCTGTTAGCGAGTAAGATTTATCTACGGAAAAATTGTTAAATTAACTTCTTAAGATGCATCTTTCTCATCTGGTGCATATATGTTTATGTAATAATTTGTTTTATGAAAGTTTTGAATATTATTTTGTAATCCCGATTTGAAATTAATAAAATTTTAGAAAGGAAAAAAAAAGATCTTGCGTGAAAAAAAAAAGAAAGGTAAAAGCATTGCTGTAAAACCATTAAATGAGATGCATAATATA